AGGACCTGAGCAGCTGAGTCCCATGGTCAGATCTGAATTTCAGATCCATCACAATAATGAGGGACAGCTGCCAGCAAGACCTGGAGAGTGTGCACTGTAAACTTACAAACTCTTCATCAGTTTCCTTCAGAGTTAAGAATCCAGCTGGGAAGCAATTACGATGGTTCCATCTTAAAATTAAGCCAAATAGGAATTATCTGAGTTCCTATGTGATCTATGCCCATGTATTTCCTGGACAAACTCCAGTTATTTCTACTTAAATCACAGCAGTTTCCAAAAATGTTATCTTTTGGAAATGAAGATTCTCGGGCCCTGTGTCAGACCCATGACTCAGCATCTACATTTTAACAAGTGTGTGAAGCTCTGATCTTCACTACCAGAAACACCACCAGAAGCTTGGATCATTTCTTCATAAGCACCACTTTACGCTACCTCACCAAAAAAGCTTCCTTTAGACTTTCTGAGTTTGAATTTGTCATCATCTGTCAAGTGAAAGCCCACCGCCCAGGCAACTTCACTGGACTAAAAAAGCAGTTAGGCTGGTGTACTCAAAGTGGCTCCAGCCAGGGGAGGAACAAGCTAAAAGGAGCTCTTGGTAGAAGAGGATGAATATTCTCTTTCGACCAACAAGCTTTGCAGAAGTGGGGCTCCCCCAGCCTTAGGCCCACATCTGTCACCCTGTTGTCTTACACCCACACAAAGCTACCTCTTCAGGTGGAAGTAAATCCACTGCAAGGCTCTGGTGTTTAGATGTAGAGACCCAATAAGAAAGTGTTCTACAATCACATGGTTCCATTATAATAAAGGGGAAATGCATGTCAGGGGCTAGGACAAATATAAATGGGTTCAGGGAGTCCAGGGTGACTCTTGGGTTATAGGTTTGCACCAAGTGAATTTTGGGTGGTGGGACACAGATGGGGCTGAAAAATGGTGGACAGTGGTGGTGGAAAACTGTGGGTGGTGGAAGAGTAATGGTGGATCAAGGGACAGGATGAAGGCTTGAGGACGGTGGATGGTACATGATGAGTGGAGGAAGAGGACAGATGACGGTTGGCTGATGGTAGGTGATGGTGGGCAGAGGGTTGTGTATGGTGATGGTGGATGGTGGATGGTGATGATGGGTGGCAGATGGCGAGTGAATGGTGGATAGCGGGCGGTGGTAGATGGTGGTTGGTAGGTGATGGGTAGGGGTGGTGCAGGACAGAGGATGAATGATTCGTGGCGGTGGTGGAGAGCACACGATGAGTGAAGGGAGGTGGATGGTGATGGTGGATGATGGGTGTTAGAGGATGATGGATGGTAGGGGATGAGTTGCAGGTGGTGGAGGACAGACAATGGATGATGAATGGTAGGTGGTCGATGGTACATAATGGGAGGAGGGCGGTGGATGGTGATAGTAGATTGCAGCTCATGGGAGGGGATGGTGGTGGTGAGTCGAGGAAGATGATTTCTTTGTCCGATATAAATACATCCTTCTGTCATCACCATCCTCATCTCCCACCTACCTTCTACCACTACTACCATCCATTACTTTCCAGCCCCATCTATGTACCACCACCCACAATCCACCTGGTAGTATAAACGTATAAGCAGGAGCCATCTCGTACTGCTTCCTCCCCAATCAGTTACTCTCTCTAAATACAGGCAATGAAGCATAATCTAAAATGAACTCAGAAGCACAGACCGAGAATCTGGCTACCGAGGTCTAAATGCCAGCTCTACCACCTACAAGCCATATGACTTGTCTGAAACCAGCTTCCTCATCTGAAAATGCACATACCTCACAAAGTTATGATGATTCAATAAGTCAATATTTGTAAAGTGCTTAGAACAATACTTTGCATATAATAAATGCTATGTATTTGTTAAATAAGAGATATGCACCAGATACTTCAATTTACATCTCTTCTCATTTCCTACAACATGAATTCCTGCCGGATAGTTCCAGAGTAAATAGGAAGTACTTACTATTCTTCCAAAGGGGAGAGTACGGAAGGTAGAAGAAATGACAGAACAAAAGTGCAGCTCCCTGACGCACTGGATGGCTCATTAAAGTTGGGTGGTGGGTTTAACGTTTTAGAATCAAACACTAATCCCTATATACGCCCATCCAAAACGCTTTAGCCAGCAACAGAGTTCATTGAAGGCTCAGCACATGAACACCTCATAAAACTCTGATAAAGTTTTATTATTTTTCAGCTAAGCCACCCTAGCCAGAATAAAACAAGAATCAACATGTCCTAACCCTGTATAAAGGCTCCTCACTGCCCCACCTGTTTTTTTCATAAGCCCTAGATAGTACTGACTTGGACGCCTATTCACCCAACTTCGATAGAGCAAATAAGAGGCATTGTGATGGCTCACGGAGATGACTCAGGGGTAGGAAGTAAGCCACACGCATGAACTAAAGGAGGAATTCACATATGGATCAAGATCCTAAAAAGGAAAGTAGGGTGAAGGAGAGAAGGAAATGACAGAGCATGAGATCAGAATGGGAGGAAGGAGAGGGGAGGCAGGGGAGGAGCTTCTAAGGCCCTGCCCACCATGGAACAACTCAAGAGCAGAGCAGCAGGATGTGTTTTGTCACTTTGTCCAGCCCATTCCTG